GATTTCATACAGTACATGAATAGGTCATAAGTAGGATTGGGTGCGATGCTATCGGGATGAAATAGCAATCATATCGATTAACATTACAAAGCACGAAGATAAAATTTGAACACTTGTTTACATACAATTTAACGAGTTTTTACAAGTTTTGCAATAGGATACAGCCTTATACTATTTCAAAGATGGTTTACAATATTACACGCTATAAATTTAAGCTAAGCATCGTTATTTGCTCATGTTATTAACCAAAGAGAAAAAATATATTAGTAAATGATGTCATGATTATTCTTAAATTAAATTAATTGGACTAATCTAATTTTTGATGCTTGTAGGTTTTACAACTTTTTCTATACCGTTGTGTCCACAACTTACTACAATTTGAAAAATACTCCGTGCAGACTTCGTGGTAATATATTCTCTTTGTTGCCTTGCCGAGATATTCTGGATGTTGTGTTGGTACTTTGCGGTGCGTTGCGGCAGAGAGTATATGGGCCCGATATGGGCCAGAGAGTGACCAATATACTCTCTGGTGACCAGAGACAGATCCGGCGACATATATGGCGGTGACTTGCGCCAATCCAGCACCAAGCCAAAGAGTATATTTGCACCAAACCAACTTTTGTGGTTTGAAATAAATTAGGGCCGCATTATGGCGAGTACGACCGTGTATACTACGTGAGTGCATTTGTTAAATACATGTTTATTGGAGAAAGTGTGTTGTACAACTCATTGTCGTAAGTTGTGTGTGTTTCTCGTATGAGTGTTGCGAGTGAGGTACATGTAGATAGTGCACTGTTGTTTCTAATTGAAATGTAATTTGATTTCTTATGATTTAATTTATTTTCATTAAAGGACAATTAAAACCGTTTGATGAATATGAGTACCAACAAATGGAGGTTAACAATTGAAAACTTAGTTTCAGTCTCGAGTAATTGGAAACTTATTTACTTTGGTAAACGAGCGACAAACATTTTTTAAAAATATTGCTATCAAAGTAATAATTCACTCCCCGGCGCTACCTGTAAATGGAGAAATACTAGTACAGATGTATGTAAAGAGAATTGTGAATTAATTCATGGTGCAAGAAAATCAAGATTCTTACTTTTTTCTTCTTTCTTACATCTAAATATTTTAGACAAAGGGTTCCGAAGAGGGTCACAATAGGCACCCTGGGCGTCAATGAAATTTTGAAAGGGTAAATGGTGATTGTGGGTTCGATTGGGGCCAATAGCCGTTGCCTGATCGGGATAATAAAGCCCCATTGATTACAAAAAATATTTATGAACTTAATTAACTAATTACGTTACTAAATTATTATTGAAATTATTATATTACTAAATTATTTATGAACTTAATTAACGAATTAGGATGTTTAGAAAGCTCAAGAAATTGTAATTCTTTTGTTATTAACAATGCTCTATCATGCAAGATAAATCTTCACAATACTGGAGAAATGTTATGGCCAGTTCTTGGGGGGGGAAAAAAATTCAAAATTTTGTAACAACAACCTTTCAATGAAGGTGAAGAACTCGGCGAATCAAATGAGTATTTGCATTTGACAATTGAAAAATCAAGATATTTGCAAGAATACTAGGGTATGAAATTATTTTAAAATAATTTATGTACAATGTTTCATGTCGTTATTATAGATGCTGTATCTTATAGATAAAACATAAGGGTACCCATGTATCAATCATTCTCTTAAAAGGGGCTGATAAAAAATAGTTTGGAAATACCGGACATACATTTGAATTGTTATATTAACAGGTTACCAATCACATATCTTCATTTGCAACGTTGTGGCCCCATCATAAGATATAAAAATTCATTAATAAGAATCCATAGATGGAATCGTATTCCTATCCTATAAAACAGAGCGCCTCATAATACCCTAAATCAAGATTCTTGTTTAATGGATTGATTTGTATCCATGGATTGACTACTTCTGTGCAGTCTATCTCCATATAAATGATTATTTGTGATGGTTGTGAGAGTGTGTATTCTTCATTCTGAGAGTGCATTTATTTGACTTGTGTGTGCACTGGTATGTAAGAGTGTGTTCACTCATATTTACTATTAATATTAACTCTAGTTGAAACAATGAGGACTATTTTAATTCTGCCCTGAAAGTAGTATTCTTTAAAAAGTTTTAAGTTGAATACATCCTGTTCTCCTTTTAAAAATGTTTGCAATAACCCTTTTTAACATTGGAAACTATTATTTATTGGTAGAACATCTTTACCCATGATGTAAATCACTGTCACTTTTCAGAAATCATTCACCTTGCAATGGTAACAAGTAAATAAAACAAGCTTGGTACATAAATATCATACAAGATATAGTTTTGCAGAGCAAACAATATTAAAGAATCTAGTTTTGGCAGTCATTTAGTGAAAAGCAGTCTTCTAGATGAATTCATGGAAAAGATATAAAGTAAATGAGAGAGAGTTGGAACCGAAGAGACTGCTGTTTTGACATACACAGATAATGGAAAATTATATCAAAAAATATATTGAGTACATTTCACAATGATATAATAATTTATTCAGAAAATGTCAAAAATTCAGAATTTTTCTTTATGACTCCCTTCCAATAAGCTAGTTGGCTTATGGATAATGCTCTTCTTTACACCACTAAACTTGCAGAATTTTATGATAACAATGGTGTTTGAGCATACTGAAGTTTCATTATGACGAAAGGCTCCGTGCAACAAATTCGAAATAATGTGAACTTAGGAATATATTTTTGTGCATGGTATCCAAGTATTGTGTACTATTTGTGGAAGAAATAAACCTTTGTAAATGTGTTCATTAATGTTACAAGCAGTTTATATTCTTTGATCCAACATTTGTCCTTCAAAAAATTTGATGACTGCAGTCTTTATTGTATTGCATGTATTCTTGTTATTATTTCATTATTACTTTAATGCTTGCTTTAAAACATTTTTGGGCCAAAGTCTAGTATACAGTACAACTTACGAAAGTCATTTAAATCGGCACACAATTTTTGTTTTGTATTTTAGAGAAACCCACAAAAATGGAAAATGAGTTGAAAATTGGAAATCTTGTGAACTAAAAGTGGAATCTGATTGATGATTGTGGACTGCTAATTAGAAGAAGTTGGGCTAATTTCTCAGAAGCCTATTTTGTTTTCAAAGCGAATATATTCAGGTAAGTCATTTCCAAGTCCTGCAAAGGTAGGTTCTCTCGGCCACCTTGATGTTCAGTTACCCCATCTCACATTTTTCCCCTTCTCCAAAGCTTGTTTACGTTGCACCCAGCTGCCACACACACTACGTCCTTTACAATCTTCACAATTCCAATTAACCAGTGGAATAACATTTTACTTCACAATGATCATTACTTCCACATTTGGTTTCAATTTCCTGCATTAAGTGAACTTTTTAGCTGCAAAAGAACTTTTGGTCAGAATGGTGCAAGCTTGTAGTTGTATATTATAAGAATAATATGTACCATTTATTTCACATTTGTGTTCTAATTTCTTTAAAATCTCACCAATGACCAGAGCAATTCAAAATACAGAAGAAAAAAATTGTACTATTAAACAAATGTTCTACAACAAATACTTTTAATTAAGATATCTCTGTAATCTCTTTGAAACACTTTTTGAAACAAACTTTGTGTTGCAATATATGTGTATCTAAGTATAAATATTAGATTGTATTTTTTAATATTAAGGAGAAATATTACTTTGTAAAAGATAATTCTTTGAGTTAGTAATGAGCATATTTCAACCATGGACCATTGATTTTACTATTAAATTTTAGGTATATTTGAGATTAAAATTTCTTCGAAACTCCAGAGTATGTTAATGTTGTTGCTAATTAGAATGTTAAAAAATATTATTAATTTACCATTGTCTAATTCAAATTATGTCTATTCAAGCCCAGTCTCGTGGAAATATTCTTTTTTATGCATTTGTATGCTTACTTATTCTGCTTTACGATGGTCTTTATGTTGTGAGTAAAATTAAAATATGGAGTGCAAACCTGCCATTTTTCCTTTTTGATAACATACTAAATTTTATTGGCCGAATTTCATAAGATGTGAAATTTTATTGCAGTATTATAATATCGATCCAAGCTGCAAAAGAGTCAAAGTTTTGAGTATTTCCAAAGATTCCGTGAAGTAAGAATTTTTTTAAAATTTCTATTTATTGATTTATTTTCTTCTATAAAAGACATGAAGATAAACCTGAATGAATGAAATTAATTATTAACTTCATTTTTATTATGAATAGTAATCTAGGCAACTGTGTGTAATCGTGTTAACTTGATTCTGCGCAAGTACAATATTATATAATAAACCTTTGTAAAAAGTAGTACAGCAAAAAAAGTATTGTAGATTACGAAGTATCGTAACATTTAGTACATCTATGTACAAACCAATCGTGGAGATTTTTGAATGGATTAATTGAAGATGGAAGCAGGGTTGGGAAGGCAGTTGTACAGGTCTAATAGCCCTTTTGCCCTTAAATAATATTTATTATTATTATTATTTCCTTACGTATTTTTTCATTGCTATTTTTCTATTACGGTACTACATATTTTTTGCTTCAGTTTGTTTATATAGACAACATTTATTTACAAATATTCTCAGTCATGCACACATGCATGTGTGCACACACATAAACTGTTTTTTCGGAAATGCAGTGATCATTTTTTGCTAGTTAAAATAACAAATTTTGTTCCTGTCAAGTTTGAGTGTGATTGAGAAGTAATGTATAGAACCCAACGAGCTAAAATATAATGAAATATATTTTAGCTGACTGATACAACCAGACATTTTTGAAACTATTTTCTGTCCAGAAAAAAGATCAATTGAAGGACACCTGTATGAGTTTAAGTTGAAAAATTCGAATTTTGTTTGTAATTTGATTCGCAATAGTACGTAGATTATGCCAGTATAATCTTTTTACGTTTTCGGATCTTTAATGCCTTTAAAAGTGGCGGTCCGGGGCCACGCAGCGCTACTTCATCATGGAGTAACGACATGGCGCGTTTCCTTACAACGGCGCTTTCAGTATCTCTTTGGTGTGTTTCGTTCTTACGTTGGCGAAACTGATGAATACTCCCAACAGCTTCGATGTTTAAACAGTTGACAACGATAGCTTGGAAAGTGTTCAAAACGTGTTCTTTGATTTTATATTGTGCACGTGGGTTATAGAAGTAACAACCTTTTTGTGCAGGTCTCGTTTTCGTGTGCTATAATGGCAAAAATTAGCTCTTCGGTAAAGGAAAATATCACGAGCGGAAAATCATTGATTCTAATAGTTTTCCAAGCCCTAATGATACATGACTTGTCTATCAACTCCACCCAGTGATTCGAAAGCTGATGTTTTGTGAAGCAACTGACGACAGTTTCAGTGTAAATTAATCTTGTTCTGGCGGATATTTTTGTGGATATTAGTGTATTGTCAGACATTTTGCAAAGTTTAGTGGAGTGCAAATTTTGAGTATAAATTGCATCGGAATTGTTGAGAGGCGTAGCTTCTAATTTTGAACCAATGCATTGTTAAGTAAGAAATTGGTGTGACTTAAAGTTATAAAAAATATGAAGCCAATATGAGATTGACTTATGCCGTGAGAAGCATAGGCAAAGCTTCTCAAACTTTTTGTGCTGTAATGAACCACCCATCTCCATCGGCCAAATTTAGTCCCTACCAAAAAATTTTGCTTGAAGGGCTTGAATTTCTGGCGTCAAAATCCATGAAAGATGCTGTGAAGAAAGGTGTCAACATCGATGGCAGCAAAGATTTAACTGCTGAATTCAATCCCTCGTGTCAGAAACTGGGGCATACATCACTGAATTGTTGTGACAGCCACTGCCATAAATTCAGGTAAAGTTATTGGTGTTGAATGCTTGTCTAAATATTGCCAGTCAATATTTTGCCATCAATTATATTTCTATGTGATGATAAAGTCTTGTAAAATAATTCATTCTGAGCACAGTAAAATCTGTCTAGTGGTCACCAATGATTGCAGCAAAAATTAACTGTTATTGAAGGTGTCTGCCTTATCAAAGTTACGACGTTATGGTAAACGTAAATCAAATCTTATGTTAACGGTTATGAATTGAGTGTTCTCTTAACGTTTTTAATTGACATAAAGGATGAAATACAATTTAAACAAGGTGTTTAGGATCGTTTACCTTCTCTCGGCTAATATCAAAACACTCTTGATTTGTCTCTCATTTTCTTAGTCTAGAAACTCATTTTCCATTCTCATGGAATTGAATTGTGCTAGGAAATTAGTCTTGCAAAAGACTGTAGATGCAATTCACACTGTAGGAACTTTTCAATAGTGTTGTTAAATGTTTATGTTCTTCTTACAAAAGTGTTAGTGAATATCCTTATCAGTGATCTTCAGAAGGGAAGCATGGGTTACCAAAGCATAAGAATGCTGCAAATGGATGAGGTACACATTGTTTCATTAAGAGACATTTATTAAAACCTATTGTTGCCTAAAAAAATGTCTTGGTGAGCTAAGTATCTGGAAGAGAGGCAGGAAGATAAATCAACCGTAATTTCCACCACTTTTCCTCATCTTACTATACTAGAGATCAAAATCTGATGAGGTTCCTCATTAATCGAGGTCAAAGTGCAAAATATGTCTGGCTGTTGGCTGCTTAACCTTTACACTCTGTTTGGGGTCATTTGTGACCTCCAGGCACAAATGATATTTAGGAACACTGAAAATTATTCACATGAACTTCTTCTTTTAGATATGCCATTTAGGTCCAGTTTTCCATCTTTTCCAAAAAAAATTATTTATTTTACAAGTGGTTATAATGTTTTATAATTCCTGTGTTGTAAACTTTTCTGTTTTTTAAGTTTCCTTGGTTTGAAGTAATGAGATGCTTATGCAGTTGGAGTCGAAAATGTTTCCAAACATTCCAATTTAAAAATTTTTCTTACAATTAGATGTGTAACATGGAATCAGTTTAGGAGGATTTCTGACTCCAAACATGTCCATTTCTGTTTTGAAATATAATGTTGTGGTTTCTTAATGATTGTCATATTAGTCCATTGTGAGTTAGTAGCCCTGTATCAAACATTCTCATGTTATTATGACACACATATGTGTAGTTAAGAGGATATGCTAGAATGTTTTTCTGGAAATATTGTCTGTTTTTTTAGTATGATGTAGAAAATAAATAGCATCATTTTCTCAATTAATATAATAACTGATTAAAAAACTTTTAAACTATTAAAACATTAAACCTGACCACAAACAGAATCCACATAAGTAATGAAGAAACAGAGTCCAAAGGTTAACTAGGCAATCAATGAAAAGAGAGAATATTCACATGTTATACAAAACCAGTTGGTTCCATGAAAAAATGGTCATTAAGAGGTGATTGCATAATTAGGGTGGCAGTTTGAGCAGGTTTCTCTGTACTGTCTATTTTTTCTGTGACTAACCATTTTTAATAAGCTTTCTTATAACTTTGTTGTAAACGATGCAGCAGCAAAGGTGTAAAGGTAGTGAAAGAAGTCTGTGGATTCAACTGTTGATGCAGAATGGAAATGATTTCTTTTGAAATAAGTGAGATATCAGTAGAATTCAGATAGCAAATAAGAGACTGTAAAAGGAAAATATTGATAAAAAGTATAATAATATCTGGTTTCTTGTTTCATTTGAATTTATTTAGAAATATTTATGAACAAAGATGTTTAGTTAATTGTTAGTATTAAGATAAGAGAAAAAAACCTCATTCCGTTAGTACTTTTTAAATTAGCCTCACATTAAAAGTGATTTTCTATACATGATATACAAGAAAGCTAAAAGATTTCATGGCTGCAAAGGTTGCAGTGGTGGAAGAAATATTAATTTACAATATTTCAGTATAGCAAGTTATTATATTGAATATTCTGTACGTTTCACCCCTCAATAAGTTGCAACCTAACAGTAGCATAGCAATAGGTTTCCCAGATGTTCCGTCATTGGGGCTCTGATCTCCTTAAAGGCTGTTGGAAGAGTCAACGGTTTGTAGCTGAAGAGGGCAGAGCAGTGGGTGTATTCCAGGAGATCAGGTTCGATTCCCTGCTGGGGCAGTTAATTCTTTGAATATTAATGTAACATGTGAAACATTATTTCTGCTGCTTAGCTATGGGGGTTGCACAGCGAGTTGGCAATTCCAAAATGGTTCACTTATTCCTATGCAATTGTTAGCTTGCTACTGTGATCAAGTGGAGAAGTGTAAAGTGTAAATATCCCAGGGGCTCTGATCTCGTATAGGCTGTTCAGGCTGATATATTTCCCTTCAGAAAAATCAATATATTAATATTAATGTTTTCTTTCGGTCAAAATACTTATCCACAATTATCAATATTTCCCAAAAACATATTATCATGATATAAAGAAAATTTCTAGAATCACATTTTTTGTGGATTGCCCAAAATCAATAGCAACTGACATCTGTCATGGTTTTCGATATCCAAACCGTCAGGAATCTATTTACTATTTACGATCTTTTTCCCAGTATTGTCAGGTTAGGTCGATAAATGAGGTTTATTCGCTTTTGGAGTAAATATGGGCGGAATTCCTTGATTTCGTAGGGATGTTTTAGAGGTTTTGTTTAGGAAGTCTCTATTATTATTATTATTATTATTATTATTAACAAAATATTTCTTGTTTTACTTGTGAAAAGTAAACTAATGTCAAACCTGAAGAAACCGGTTCTCGGCTATAGATACTTTACGATGGGCAGAGATAAAGAGAAAACTAATTGTTTAAAATAAATTTGTATTGGTAACTAATCACATATGATGCATGCCAAACGGAATCGTTGAGTTGTAACCCCAAAACTATGAGAGTATTTTCTGCACATATAAAATTATCATGGGTGACATGTTTACCATGAATGAATTTTTTTAGATTAAAGACTTGAGTACCAAGAAAATCAAAAGAGTAACTATTCATAAAAATAGTTTTTGATGAGAAAGAATTCTACTGCTTATAAAGGCCAAATTTAATTGTGATTAGAGTAAACTTTTTGATGTAAGAACAGTGCGAAATGTTGTAAGTATTTTAAAAAATGTGCAAGACTCTTGGTTTTTAATGCATTTAGTATTGTGAAAAAATCTTGGAACTGACAAATTCTATAATATTTACTGTACATATGTTAGAGAATTATTAAGCAAAAAAAAAATGCTGTTATCCAAAAATTTCTTCAACCCTTTATTGTTTTGTATTTTTAATAGTTATTTCTATGTTTATTTCTATGTCAGATATATATATATATATATATATATATATATATATATATATATATATATATATATATATATATACATATACATATACATATACATATACACACACACACACCCCTTCAATAGTGGTATGTAGAATAATGATTAGAATAAGACGACAGTTTAACACAGATATAAATCAGAATATTGTTTCAAAACTAATATTTATGTAGTTGATATCAAAATAGAACCACGACGATTTACTTTGATGATTTATGAATGAATGTAAATAAATTTTCTAAATAACAAAACATGTCAAGACCTTTCTTTACAATCGATAAATATTATCATATTATTTATGCATGACCAAACAATAAAATATGACAATTCTATCATTAAAATAGAAAATACTATGTTTTATCATATTTTTAACAACGAAAACCTTGATGATTGTAATGATGAGGCTTTGAAATATAGAAATAGACTTGCACTAATTATGAGTTGTAATATTATGTTATATCTCAATTTAATACATGTTTATTATTTATGTGCCAAATATATAGATTGTATCTTAAATTAATTGTTTTGTGATATTCACTGTTGTTTGTCAATCAGATATACATAACTTTTTATGAACTACGAAACTATTTCTCTGTAGCATTGTCGTTAATACTAATTCCATTTTTATGTAAATCTGAGTTGTCAATTAGTTGTAACTTTGTAGTTACTGTAATTTGTGAAGTGGGAGAGACTGGAATCACTGCGATTATTCAGATGTAAGGCCAAGGCCCAAATTGGTCTGCAGTGCCATCGATAATAAAAAAAAGAATTGTTTAAAGGGATTTTTAATGTAGCAAAATTGATTTGGGTCTTTTACTTTTTCAAGCTACTAGTTCCATAAAACCCACTTATTGGTACAGAATTCTGCAATATTTCTTCTGCTACCATCAATGGCATATTATCATTTGAATAATAATGTAATAATGGCAATTTTTTTCTTCAGGTGTGTGAAACCGTACTTGGTGCCATGAGGTAGAATGGGGAAGGCAGTGTGCTGGGTGCAACATCTGATCATCCTCGAGAGCTTGTCATCCTTAATGAACCTGGAGTGCACCTGTTGGGTGAGCTGAAATGCACTTGCATCTGCACCAGCATCTGCTTCAGGTGCTGGTTCAGCACCTAGTACTGTAGAGGAAAAAGTATTTGTAGTGTCTTAATCAGTTCAGGTGGAAGTTCTGTATGTGAAAGAGAAGAGCAGAAGAGCTGAATCCTAAGTATTTTCTTGTGCAATATCTGTTTGATAAAAATTTGTAAACATCTGTGTGTTGCTGAGTAATGATTTAGGCGATTTATTGCTGAATACACAGTACTTGTTTGAATCAGAGAAAATAAATTCTTTTGAGGTCACTGAATATGAATTATTATAAAAAATGTCTAGGCACAACGTTGAGCTTCTGAATGTGAGGGTTGTGTGTAAATAGTATTGTTTTACTAATATTGTAGTGCAAAAATTGAGATTTTATTTTTGGCTCTTGAAAATTGCTCACAGATGTCCTTATTTAGGGAATAGTTTGAGAACTTTTATATGATGATAGAACCTTGTGTTGATTGAAAGATAAGAGGTTTGATGAACTGTTTGGACTGACATTCAGTTGTTTTTTTTTCTTCTTCTCTAAATAGGAGTTGAAAGAAATGCAATGTTTCACAATGTTTTTAAGTACTTGGGGTTGGCAAGATTTGTGACATGAATGTAATAAACATTTGCTGCATTTTAAGTTATAGTATGTGTTCTGAAGAGTAAAGTTAAAAACCTTGTTCTTCACTTCACTGTCAGTTCAACAAATTCAAAAGCCACAAGGTTTGTTTTTTTTGTGTTCAGTTTTCCGGGGCACAATTATTATTTCAGATATAATTCATACCCGCTAGTATAGATTTATTGAACTATGGATAAAGGGGGTTTCGTATAGCATAAGGACGAAATTAAGATGATTCAGACTTGATTGAATGTTTATGGTAATAATAGTGAGTGATATATAGAGGATAATAGTGAAAAATTTTCTGTGTTGACGGTAGTTAAATACAATATTGTAACTTTTTTTCATTCATAATGTTAGGAATTTCATGAACTTTTTTCTTTTAATACTTGATGATTTTGAAATTTTATTTATTTATGAAGTAATGTAGACAACAGAAAAATTTTAAAACGTATTTTTATGTTTGAGGAAATGCATGGAAAAAAATCACTTATTTAGTTTTGATTATTATTGATTTATTGTTTTTATCACCTGAATACGCATCATTTAGCTATTCTGTTCTCCACCATTTGCAAGAAAACGTGAGCCACTTCTCTGTTTTAATGTGATCAGAAAACTGAAGTAGTGATTATATGGGTCATTTGAACACGGGGAGGGAGGAGGAAAGAAAATAATGAAGCACATGATTGGAAGTTATTGGAGTTATAAATTCTAATTTTTTAATAAATGTCAAAGAATGGAGGTTTTTATTCAATATTAGTGTAAGTTAATCGAGGATTAACTTGTGAATAGCACTGCAATGTTCCTGAAATTTTGTAATCTAGATCTGCTATCCAAAAGTTTCTCCAGTTAATTAAGGGTTAGTTGCTTTATTTGCAAATAACTAGAGGGAGGGGGGGCTTGATAAGCCACTTATTTTGCCTTTGAGATGCCTCTTACAAGTGATATATCCAAACGTATGAATTTCCGTTCTGAATTTTAAGATTATAACGAATGCAATTTATTTATTTTGACTTTATTTATTTGCATCTAAACAGGCAATTGCCCAATAATACAGGTTTTGTATAGTTAACAAATTGTATAATTAATGAATTAACACATTACTTTGTATAATTAACAAATTGACTAACAGAGATACAATTTATGTCGAAATTACGTCGATGTTACAGTTATTATAGTTTCTACACATATGTCATATAGGAGAATAATAACCCCTAATTCGTTTTTGCGAACGGTGTTAAAAATGTATCATTTTGATTAAATCTTGGGTTACGCAACAGTATTTTCCAATTGATCAAAGATAGTAGTTTGCTACTGTCAAGATCATGATTTAATAATTTGAATAGAAATAAGATGTCATTACAATTTCTATGAGATTCAAGAGAACTAATTTGAAGATATAGTAAAATTTTGCTGTAATCATTGTTTAATCTCGGTGATAATTCAAGAAACCAAGCCGCTAAATTAAAAGAATTATGTTGTACTGATTCAATTATCTTTTTGTATACGTCATAAGGAGGAGACCAGTTTTGTGAAGAGTACATAAGTGTTGGTCGCACTAATGTTAAACACAAAGTTCTAATTGTAGAAGGTTTCTAAAGTCAGTTGCAGTTCTCATAATAAATCCTAACATATAATTAGCTTTATCTACAATATTATCTATATGTCTACCAAATCTCATTTTTGGATCGAAAATAACTCCAAGATCTTTTATTTCATTGACAGATTCAAGTATCACTCCATCAATAGAATACTCATGGTCAACTATATTTCTGTGTTATGTGAATTTCATCACTTGGCACTTATTTACATTAAAGTTTAATTGATTTGATTTACTCCAATTTATAAGACTTTTCAAGCACTTCTGTAGTTTGTAATCATTAACGGTATTAATTTCTCTATAGATTTTTAAGTTTATTAAGTTATTGGTTTGAAACAGGCAATCGCCCTGTGAATACATATCATTTTTTACATAATTACTTAATTCTAAGAATTTGATCACATACAATATCGCTTTCACATTAAATATTCGGGAATAGTCATTTAATAATACATTTTTAATTTGTATAACACAGTTTTGATTAGAGTAAAAATCTATTCTAAATTTATTTGCTAGATTGCACATTCTCCATAAAGGTGCATAACGAAATTGATTTGTTTTCACAAGTGGAACGTTAAAGATATCATTTATGTTACGAAGCCTTATTTCTGGAACTTTCAAAAATAGTTTTGAGTGTAGGAGGATACAATCAATTTCATTCGCGATTAATTTGTTTAAGAATTTTAGATCATTAACTTCCCTTTGAGGTTTTAACGAGCTGATGTTCAGTATGCTAGCAATTTGATAAATATCCTGACTTTAGGTAGGGGTAAATTTAGTTTCCATGCCACGAAATTTAAAAATTTATGTTGTATTCTCTCTAATTTTCTTGAGTTATTCTCCTATATTGGTGACCACATGGAGGAACAATACAATAGAATAGGTCTAACTAACGTTAAGTATAAAGTTTTAAATGAAATTGGGTTTATGAAATTCGTAGTCATTCTTCTAATAAATCCGAGCATCCGAGATGCTTTAGATATAACTTGATCAATATGATTTGAAAACTTTAATTTTGAGTCAAAAATCACTCCCAAATCCTTCATTAGTGAAACCTTTTCTAATTAGTGGCCATTGATAGAGTATTGTAAATGGATATTATTTCTTAACCTAGTATAAGTCATGGTTTTACAATTTGATATATTTAGATGAAGTTTATTATCATTGCACCATAAATATAATGAATTTAAATTTGATTGTAATGTAATAGTCTTGCAATGATTTTATTTCGGAATATAGTTTCAAATCATCAGCATAAATCAAAAATGTGCACGAAGGAAGTTTTAGTTTTATGTCATTGACAAATAATATAAACAATAGCGGACCCAAATGTGAACCTTGAGGAATACCTGATTTAACTTACATGTCTTTCGAAATAAATGATTTATATTTTACATTCTGAATTCGATCAGTCAAATAATAATCTAACCATTTTAGTAATGGTTCATGAATTCAAAGATTTAACAATTTTTGTAGTAAAATATTATGGTTAACAGTATCGAAAGCTTTTGTGAAATCTGTATAGATTACATCGACCTGTGCATTAGTTTCAAATTTCTTTCAAGTATAGTGTTGAAATGTTAGTAAATTCGTGGTTGTTGATCTTTTTGTCTAAACCCATGTTGTTCATCAATAAGTACATTATTAAGAGACGCAGATAATTTATTAGTAACAACTGATTCAAACAGCTTAGGGATAGTACTCAACTTCAAGATTGGTCTATAGTTTACTATTTTAGATCTTTCGTTTGATTTGTGAATGGGAGTAATGAAACTTCTTTTCCAAACACAAGAAAATGAACCTTCATTAAGAGATTTTTCAAAAAAATAATGTAATAACAATAATATTAGTTTTGCAATTTTTCAAAAATGACAAAGGTATTCCATCAGGTCCAGGTCCTAATTTATCATCCAACTGTTCAATGGCTTTAAAAACTTCCATCTGAGTTATATCTAATCGGGATATATTAATGTCTGAATATGTGTATGTATCATCTTATTTCAACACTGGAGTTAAGATTATCAGGTTCGACGTATACAGATTCAAAATAAGTTGCAAACATGTTAACAATGTCTTGACCATTTTCGGGGAGAGAATTATTAAAAAACATAACATTCGGTAATCCACTAATTCCTCTAACAGAGTTTGTAAACTTCCAAAATGCTTTTATATCACAACCCAGTGTTCATTCAATTTTAGAATATAAGATTCACAGTCACCAGCTGATTTTGTTTTACATTTCATACGCAATTCCGAAAATCTCAAATAGTGAAAGTCACATCCTGATAATTTATAGTTCGAATGCACTACAGCCTTTTCTTTCAATAATTTTTTCAGTTCTTTTGAATACCATGAAGGATATGAATCCGAATATATGATTTGTTTCGGAACATTATTTTTGATGATTTCATACATTTTATCATAAAAATAGGACAAAGCAGAATCTAGTGTATTTTGTTCAAAATAGTGAAGGCAGTTAAATGACAAAATTTCGTCATTGATTTTTACATAATCTGCATCATCAAATATATATTTCATGTCAATAAGATTAAGACTTGAATATTTATCATTTAATGAAAATATTATATCTAAGGCGGGATAGTAAGAATCACATGGTACGAAAGTACAATCAGGTTCTCTAACTATACAATTTTCATCATGACAAAATATCAGATCCAATGTTCTATCCATGACCTTTAGTATCTTATTTGATTGAAAAAGATTCAAGTATTTCATTGAATTTAATATTAAAGATGCTACTGTAATTTCATCATGTGAGGCATTTGAACATTCGCATATTATCTCCCAGTTTACATTTTTCCAAGTAACATGTGGTGAATTAAAATCTCCAACAATGAAAAATTTAATGTCGGATTTAATTCAAATATACGTTCAAGCTGTTCTGTGTAACTCTCATAATTATCAAGTGAAGGATCTGAAGGAATGTAAACTGCGTTGATAATTAAACTAGAGGTACCCAATTTGATAAGAATATAAAGTAGTTAGTTATAAGGATGTTTGTACTGGAGTTATATCTATGCTACTGAATTTACGATGAATCGCCACCAAATCTCCGCCTCCTCTCTCATATTGACTAGTAGTTGGTCTTCTGTCGAATCTGTATATGTTGTAATTTGGTAGGTTGAATTCGTCCGAGAAAATTTCTTCATGAAGCCAAGTCTCCGTAAATACAAGTATGTCGGTATGATCGAATGATGGTGCAGCCTTGTTAAACATTTTTAATTTAGTCCGAAGTCCTCGACAATTTTGATAATAAACTGATATTTTGTTAGAGGATTGCCTGGAATTCAGTTTTCCTGTACTGTCGCATTATCATTTGAGTTGTCGTTTCTCTTGTTATCAACAATTTTTGGGACTCCATTGATGTACTTTATACTTTTGTTTTTATTGACACCTTTATCTGTTTCTGTATTTATTTGGGATATCAGATTTCTCAAATATTCCCTCTGCTTCATTGAACAATCAGCTCCAATTTTCCCTTCGGCTTTGTATTTGTGTTTGTTCTTCTGTACTTTGATCACAGCATCAGCATTATGCAATACAACTTCTATTGGTCTCGGTTTATTGGCATTCGTTGAAACAGACGAATCTTTGGTCTGGTGGTTTTCACCTAAGCGCATTGTTGACACAACACAATCTTCACCGGTGATTTCTGTGATGGACGTCACAATCTGTTTATTGGCGATAAGCCGCTCTTTTGTTTTCAAGGTTGTATCTTCCTCTATACCATAAATCAACACATTTTTCGAGCGCCATTCACGTTCGTGAAACTCAGCATACAACGATTCCATCTCCATCTGGTCAATTGTATACTCGAAAGTTCGAGATTTCAACTCATTCTGCAGTTTCTCGTACGATTTATTGAGTCCTTGTATTTGTTCACTTAGGTTCACCAGAGCTTGCGTGACGTTGAGATTTCCATCTGGAGATGTGCAGTTTTCACAGAACCAATACAATTGCCTTTTTATAGTGCAAATACCTTCAGTTCTGAGGCTGTCAACGTTGTGCAAGTTGAATGATATTTTTGCTTACAGATGTCACATTCCACAATCACCACTGGTTCACCATTTTTATTTTTAGTAATTAAATCACCAATATTATTTTTTGTAATAATTATTTCACCATTACATTTATTACAAGACATTTTAAATGCAATCTATAGATATTATATGCGATACTTTTATTCTCAAACAGTAGTCAACCTGCAACGTAATGGAATGAAAACGAACAACTTTATCTTTAAATTTAATTTAATTTAATTAGATATTTCTAAGTCAGATGTAGGAAATACAGTTTATGTACTGGATTTGTATCCAATGACAGAATACATACTGATTTAAAAATCTCATTATTCATACCATTACAAACTGTCAGCGTAAACGAGGTCTGTGCAAAATGAAGCAAGTCATTCACAGCATATAACAATAATTCTTTAAAATTATCTTTTGAGTTCTGACTCAAAGCGAACAAATTTAAAAACAAAATGCTCTCTCCATGATAATTGACATTACAGCGGAATACTTTTAACATTAAAAGTAATAGATTAACATAGTTTTCACGCTGAAGAATCATTACCATAGTTTTAACTACAAAATAATATGATTATCAGTAATAACATTACACATATTCTTCTACCAGTATGCCTGCAATAACATTGTGATGATATCCCTGATAATAAAATAAAGCAAATTCTTGTGGACCAAACATGTGCTTAGTCATAAAAGCAATATATTGTTAAATTACTGCTAAATATACATAAATATTTCTAATATATATATATATATATATATATATATATATATATATATATATATATATATATATATAAGAAATACATATTATTTTTATTATTATTATTATCATCATCATTTAATCCCTATTAGGACAAGGGCAAGGAGTGCAACTCTTGACCATTGATGACCTAGAAGTTCCTGAAAGTCATCGGTCCATTTTCGATGTTGCCTACCAACGTTCCTCTTCCCTATTCATGTGTCCCACGAAGTAGTTCTGGATGTCCATCTGTTATCTTAGTCTTGAGATGTGGCCTCCCCATATCCATTTCAGTTAATGAGCAGTTAGCATTGCATCTTTTGTGTTCGTATGTCTTAATTTCTAATTTACTTACATATGTACACCTATATTAATCTAACAAATCGATATTAATTTTTTGGCAATGGGGTCGAAAAAGCATCGGTGTGGTTACAACCAGCCTCGCTCAAAGGGTTTCCCTACACGCAACACAGTCCAACAACCACCGAAAATCAAGGCTAGTTGACAAGCAACGAACATCTTGCTTCAGTGTTTTGGAATGCATTTGTTGCCGTGCAACAAAAGACATTTCAAACTCGCTGACAGCAGTAAGAATCACATTTGTCAAACCTTCAGAAGTGTATATCAAAGATGCGTCTTGAGAATCAAACTCCCGACATTGAATATACTTATGAAAATCTCTCAAACAATCTGTGCAAACGTAGTTCTTGCACTTGTGGCAACTCTCATCCTTTAAAGCTCCCAACATTTGCCTGCCGATATACCCAGCAATATACCACGTTGCGATGTACTCTGGACGAGCTAATTGTGTTTCTGTGGGAAGTGCACGTTTCATCTCTGAAACGTGGTGCACTGTGACACCTTCGCTCTCTATTTGATTTTTTATCTCCGTGATGTCCGCTGCACCGTGCAGCGCGCGCATAACCAGTCTGTGGCGGCGTTCGGTGGTGGCGCGACGGAAAAAAAATTGGGCGTCCGGTTGAACTCTTTCATTCTTGTGAGCACTTCCATGATTTTTCCGTGGTCACGTACGCAGCCGGGTTTCAACGTTAGGAAGGCTGGCGTTGAGCTGCCTCTTAGTGGGGTCGTGATGTGAGGGGTCAGCGTTTTAATGATAGCAGCGGCGTCTACCGGCTGCTGGATGCATGTTTCGCCCACCGCTTCGCGCGGGCGGGTTGAGTTGCTGATGGCGGCGTCTGCGTGTTGGGGGTCGGGCGATCGTGAGGGGTTAAGAGTTGGTATCGGTTTGACACCGTGACGTAGCGGGATGTTGCGGTCGTCGGTCTTTGGAAGGCGCGTGTTGCTATTTCTTGAAGTGGGTCGTCGTTTTCGGGGTCTGGCTGCACAGGGGGAGAAGAGCTGGTCGCGGGGGGCGAGTCGGGGTTCTCGGCGGCACTCATTGTGTTGGTGTCTGACTGGCCTGGCGGGGAGGGTCGCGTTGCCCAGGCATGCACGCCGCAGCGACGACAGGTTCGGCTGTGCTTCGGCGGAGATCGTATTTCGCCGCCGGCTCTGGTGACTCGTAGCGGCAGCTGAGGCCTTTTCCTTCTGCAGGCGTCAGTGCATCTCCGCGGCGCAGGATGCTGCAGGAGTGCACAGTGTCTGATCGGAGCTTGTAGCGGTACGCGGTGCAGCAGCTTTTCTTAGAGTAGCGGAAAAGCGAGACCGAGGTGGAATACCTTTGTCGCTGTCTGTTGTCGCGTTTGCAGAGGTGAAACGTTTAAGTTTTTTAGCAGTGACTCGTCCGTGGTTTGCATAACTATGTGCCGCTTTGAACGCACATAGTACACTTATTCTTATTATTATTTGATTTGTCTAATTGCTAGTCTACAGTAACTACATTCACTGTTTAATTAGAACGACAGAACTTAACTAGAAACTTTCACTACGTAACTAATTTAATCTAACTGCTTTACTAACTAAATTAAACTAGATGATATGAGCGAGACTAGTGCGCGGCGTGCACTGTCACCGGCGCCGCGCGGAGGGAGCTGGCGCTTCAACCTCTCGACGCGCGTTCAGGAGCGGAGCTTCTACTTCGACGCCCACGCACTGAATCATGTTATGATGATTTCCTCCAGTGTTATTTCCAGATGGCGGCCTGCTCCTGGGTGGGAGCTCTTCCGTCGGGGTTTTAGTTTTGAATGTCTTCAACCTTGTTGTGGCCGCCCTAAGGTTGTCCCATTTCTGGGCGTCTCACTGGTTTCTAGTGTTACTTATTTTGCTGCCAAGAAAGTCGCTCCCAAGAGGAAGCGATGCCCAAGTCATTCCATCGTCGCACGGTTGTCGGTATTTATTTGCATTGAGTGAGCATACATTTTTAACATTTCTTTTTAATTTAGACTATGTACAGTTTTCCTTATACTATGCTCAAGTTAATACTATTTGTCTCTATCTAAACTTAATCTATTTTGCTGGTACTACATGTTTTAATCCTAACTATTCTTGATATTCTATAACTGGTGATATGATATAAGAGACGCGTATTGTACCCGTATTTACCTGGGACCCGTATTTATGGTGAAGGGCGTGGTTCGCGCGCTCGCGCCTGATTGAGTCACGTCAGCGGTACCGGTTGGGTGCGCCGAGTTTTGGTCTTACGGAGTGCCGGGTACCATGCACTGTTTAATTGTTCACCTTTTCTGTTGAAATTGTTTTTGAGTTTATAAATCTCGATGGCTTCCATTTGGAATCTCTTGTAGTGTGTGGTGGTGGGGAGAACATCCGTCGCTTCAAAGCGCATGTTGTGTCCGCGTCCCGACAGCGCGTGATCGGCGACTGCTGATTTATCAGTAAGTCCTAGACGGCAGTTCCTTTTGTGTTCTTTTATCCGTGTATTAAAGCTCCTCCCTGTAGTGCCTATGTATACGGAACCACCAGTGCAAGGAGTTATCTATACTCCAGCTAAAGACATGCGATCCTGGGGATCTTTGGCCGAACATAATATGTTTCGGAGTTGTTGGGTTTAAAGATAGCTTTAAACTTGTGTCTTGTTAGGTATCCCAAGGCGGGCCGTTACTCTCTTCACATAGGGCAAGAAAGCTGAGTGAAGTATCTTCTACATGGTTTTCTTCAACTGTCTTCGGGTGTAGAGCTCTTTATACATGAAGAAATCGTTAGCACATTCACTGAGGGCGGTCTGCATGAAAAGCGGGCTCTGTGTCCAACCCATGGGTAGAGAAGTGAAACACCAAGCCCGCTTCCCCCCGGTGACACCCAGGAACCTTTGGAAGCTCTGTGACACTGGGATATGGTAAAATCCATCCGTCAAGTCTATTTGCACTGCGAGTTGGTTATCACACATGGCGGCGAGCACTTGGGGAGAGAGGGGTGGTCCGTGTAGTGAGCGGTCCAAGGACTCTTGTATACTTCAACACCGACCTACTAGAATTTTATGTACATGTTAAATTGAACGAAATACCCACAATGAACTTCATTTCTACTGCTCCAAACATAAAACTTCAATAAATACAAATTTTGTAATACTATTTTGCAATCTGAAATGGATTACTATTTATTTGGCGCCAATTTTACCACACAATGTTACAAGTATTCCAATGGCAATTCTCAATATCCAGAATCTTTGTTAACTTTCAGAGATCACCATTCCATATTAATCCAAGTAACTTGTTGCGGGAACTTCTTTCTCATGACCTAAAATTGATATGGAAAAAGACGTTCTTGCTGAAATCGTCGTCACAAAGCAAGAAATTACTTTATTACTACACCATATAATTTAATAGAATTTTCGCGTCACTCCTTAAAAATCATTAGAATACGCAAAAGCCAACAACCATAACTGATTACAATCACGTGCACATCCTGATCTACTGGTTGGCCGTTGAATCCGTAATTTCGTCTCAAACTAAAGTATTGCAGGATCCGGAAATATGACAAACTTCGCAACATCGAATTTCCGATGGTGCCTCTTGCTTCGCCTGGTGTATAGTTCATGTTCGCCTGTCCCCTGTCGGGGTCTCTTCGAATGGTGGGCGTTTTGGGGGGGTTTTTGTTTTTGTGTTTTCGA